TATTGCCTTTGGAATGTGATCTAAATAGTTTGTTTCATTTAAAAAAAAAAAAAAGTCAATTTGCTTTATCATCAATGTTGTTTGTCTGCTGTGCAAACATCTGCTGTTCTTGTGGCAACAACAATCTTAAGTACAGAAAATTTGGCCTGGTCAAGGGTCTTGGAAGGCCTATCTTCAGACAGCAGTTTCATACTTACAGCTTTGCAGACCATGAGGTTAATAGGCAGATTTTTTGCAGCTAGCTTGGCAATGTCATATGAGCTTCTTTAAAGGCAGCAAATTGCAAGGCCAGGGAACGAGCTTCTATATGCAACGGGCTCCCAGGGGTCCCTGGAATGAAGCTCTTAAAATATACAGGGAAACAACTCTCCTTTTCCCCCCTTCCATAAAACAAAGTAACAATGAAGTTAACAGCAAAAAATTAACACTCTCTTTTTCATAAAGAGCTGCAGTTTCCTTGATCAATAATACTACAGAGTGACACGCTGTCGTTGCAGCTTTTTGAGAGCAAAAGGTGGCATAGTCAGTTTTCCTCAGTACTTCATTCAGCCTACAGAGAAACACAGAGGGGTACCTGATTTTCACCCCCCTCACCCCCTTTTCAAAGTTGCTAACCAAAGGTCATACAGATTAAGGGAAAAAAAAAAAAAATTAGTTGTGCCAAATGGTATTCTTCCTCCTCCAAGGCGGAGGTTAAGTGCGGGCAGCATGTCCCCTAGCTCCCCTCAAACCCTGAGCTGAGCAGGAGCTGCGAGTTCACTATATAAATCTTTCAAATTCACCAGCATGCTCTCTTTGGCTACAAGCCAGCAAGCTACAACGCAGAGCCTATACAGGAGATTGCTCTGAAGTTATTCTATGCTACTGTCAATCACTGCGGAGGAGGCAGCCTAGATATGCCTTTATCTATAAGCACTAATGTACAGAATCATCGGCCATCCAACCTGGCCCATACTTCCCGGTCTCAGCCCGCCTGGGAAAACTGCACCACCGCCCTCTTGGAGGGTTTCCTCATACTTATTTTCCATCAATTACACACGGCAAGAAAAGCCAATCTCAGAACTCCTGGGAGAAAACAATCTATCAAAGTACGTAAGCTACTAGGAGTAGTAAGCTTCAATATGTCTCTGT